TTTTTTTTTTTTTTGTAATAGGAATTGAGCCTAGGGACACTTTACCACTGAGTATTGTCCACAGCCCTTTTTATGTTTTGAGTTTGAGACAGGATCTCCCTAAATTTATGAGGCTGGCCTCAAACTCCTCCTGCTTCAGGCTCGAAAGTCACTGGGATTACAGACATGGGTCACTGTACCTGGTTATCTCGATATTTATTTTGCTATCTAGTTGTTAAAGTAAGATTTCTTTCTTCTAGTGTTATGGTTTAGATATATGTCCCCCAAAAGCTCATGTGTGAGACAATGCAAGAAGGTTTAGAGTGAAATGATCAGGTTAGGAGAGCCTTAACCATATCAGTGAATTAGTCCCCTGAAATGGATTAACTGGATAGTTTCTCCGCTCCAGCTCCAGAAGGCATGTAGGGTGTGGTGGAGGAGGGGGGCATGCCTTTGGGGTATATATTTTGTCTTTGTTGAGCAGAGCTCAATTTCTGCTTTTTAGTGTGATGTCTTGAACCACTTCCCTCCGACACACTCTTCTGCCATGATGTTCTGCCTTACTTGGAGCCCCCAGGAATGGAGCCGGCTGACTACGGACTAAAATCTCTGGAACCTTGAGGCCCAAAATAAACTTTTCCTGCTCTAATAATTTTAGTCAGGTCTTTCAATTACAGCCCCGAAAAAACGGACTAAAATATCTGGAGAACCCAGAGTGTTTTCTATCTGCATTGTCTTTGGGAGGGTGTGGAAAATTGGAAAAGGAAGAGGAAGAAACTAATGGGGGAAAAGTTCATTTAAAGTCTCTTGATGAATTAGAACAGCTTGAGCAGGAAATCCTACCTCTGTTAGACTTTGAAACTGATAGAAAAACGCCACAAATTGCAACTATAAACAACCTTCGCTGTCTTAAGTCACATAGAGTGTTTTGCTTGGGTGGAATTCTGCAGTTTCTAGAAGTTTAAGGTCAATTTTTGCTTGGTCTTTGCTGTGCTCAGAGCAAAGCCAACACCATCCTCACATCCTCAGGGATATGTTAGATAGTTTCTCCGCTCCAGTTCCAGAATGCTCCTTCCACAGCACACACCACCATGTACATTACTGTGGCTCAGACACATGGACCCAGGATGCTCCCTTTTGTTGGGCAGGAAAAGGAAGAGGAGCAACCAGTCTCTGGCTTCTGAATCCCTGTATATCTTTCTGCTGAGCACTCCAAGCTCGGAAAGGTAAGGGCTTTAGGAAGAGTCTGCCATCTGAGGCTCCAGTGTTTAAGGAAATCCCCTGGGATATTGAGTGGACATGTTGCCAAAGCTCGGTCCTTGTCCCCAGTGCCAATCCAATAATGAGGATATGATTTTGAGAAAAGGGGAAAAAGAAGGTTTATTGCTTTATTAGCAAAAGAGAAACACAGGGAACTCCTGTCCCAACGACTGTGATTCTGCCCATCAGCAGGAACAGGGAGCTTTTAAAGAGGTGATTCAAAGACTTCGTCCCACATGTTCTCTGTCTGGAGTTGTAATCCACTTGTGAATTTGGGGGACAATCATTTCTGAGATTTTCTGGTGCCATCCCCAAAGTCTGGATTATTTAGTTCCTTGAGTGTGTACTCAAGGACAGATAAATCTGCCCAGGATGGGGAAGAAAGGTAATCCTGTTTCCCCTGAGATTAGGGAGGGGGAAAGATCAGGGAAGAGCAGGGAGAGAGGAAGAGAAACGAAACACGTCCATTTTAAAAATAAGTTGCAGTGGCAGAGCAGCAAGGCCTATATTCAAAGCATAAAGTAGACCACTGTTCAGGCAGAACTTGACATTTCCTTTCTATTTCAGTTTTAGGTCCTCAGGACAGAGTACTCTAGAGGTAACTGTTGCTGCTTAAATCCGAAGTTTTCAGTTCTGCAGATATTCTAATGGAATTGACACAAGTGCAGTCAAATAAATTGGAAACCACAATTTAAAGCTTATCTATATTATTATATTTATTAACACTAATTAATATTATTATAGTATAATCACTCTATTATGATTATCTTCTTACTATTACACAATTGCATGTTATATACTATATAATTACATTATGTATTACATATTATACATTATAAACTGTATTTAAATTTTTGCAGGGATTCCACATCTGTGACAATGGGACAGAATGGGTTAGTTAAGGCTACTCTGCCTTCCTGTAGCAGGAGCTCTGAGTACCAGAAAGCCCTGCTTCTTCACCAGGGCTGAGCAAGACAGTGATAGCTACACGTAGGAGAAAAGTAGAAACATTGATTAACTGTTTTCTGTTTCTACCCAAGCAAATAGGAACTAAAACTGTATTCTTTTAATGCTTTGCCTTTCCTGTCAAGACTTAGTACCTTCTTCTTTGTGAAAACAAAAATGTCACAATTAAAAGGATTCAGTTCTAATATTTTTAACACCCAAAGGTCTCTCTGAGAAATTATTATTTCAAAGAAAACAGTGCACTGGGGGAAAATAAATAAGTAAATATTTGTTCTATGTCAAGAAGAAAAGTTGAAGAAATGTCTGCTTTTTTTTCTGAAGAAAATTTACTATATTCTTGCCATGTTTTGTATTTTCTAGCAAATACATTCAAAAGGTGTTGTTCACAGACACAGAACTAAATCCTTACCTTGAATATTGTCTTTTTATTTCTTTATTTCTCTACTCTCTTCTCTACTTTCTTTAATTTTCATCTGTCTCTAAAAATAGAGTCAGAAAGGGAAAAAAAAAAAAGAAGAAATAACATGGATACATGTTAGCCACACTGGTAAGAATTTCCAGAATATGTGTTTACTAGGGTAAGCAAATACGTAAACACATAAGCCCAGGCATGCCTAGATCATCAGGCAAAACCTGCCTTAAATATTGTCAGTCTGGTCTGAAAAGATTCAGTTACTAAAAGTTCATTTTCCAGGGAAGATGCCAATAACACTGTCTCACGCTGAGTTCATCAGACCTAGTTCACATGAAAACAAAGGGCTTTTCACCAGTGTGTGTGTGTGTGTCTGAGTGTGTGTGAAGGTGAATAGTTATTTACCTACTACTTACTGTATTCCTTGCCAAGTTTCAAGGGTGTGCCTGGTTTATGGGATTTACAGGAATCGGCATGCTTTAAAGAAGTGTATTGCTTTTTACTAGTTCTTTCATTTTCACTTTTCCTTATTCCAAACCGATCATAGAAATTTAGAGCTCTAAAGATTCCAACCCTCTCATTTCATATAAGCAGAAAATGAGGACTAGTGGCTCAATCAAGCCTTCCTGAGCTCCACACAGAGGTTGTTTATTTATGACTTTATTCCAGCTTAAACATTAGATAAAATGCCATATTTTTCCAATATTTGATTAAAGTTTAGATGTATAACTACCCTTGGTGCCATACAAGAGTCAATTATATATTCAGATGATTGTCCAAGAACCCAAAAAATATATTCAAAGGACAACATGGACAAATATCCTCCTCCCAATTAGACATGATGTTCAAAATATCTAACAACTGGCAGAGCATGGGCCTACCTGCTGATGCAGACAATAGCCGTACATGCTCACTCCAAGTGAATCATGCACACTGGGGAAAGGAGAATCCTATTTCCAGACTTCCCCCGAAAATTAAGAGTGTGGTGAAATGAATCAGAGATGGCTACTTCAAAGGAATTGACAGAATTCTAAGGAAGACAGGATGTACCAGGAAACAAGGATGTTTTGGGGACTAAAGAATCAAACTTCTCTAGATCTCAAGTTTCTATTGGTTCATGATTTCAGGGTCTCAGTTCATGGTCAGCTGACTTACTCTCTGGGTTTAAAGTGAGGCAGCATGATGAAGAAAAGCTACTCACCACATGGTACCCAGAAGCAGAAAGAAAGAGGAAGGACCCAAGGGGCAGGAGATATAATCTCCAAGGTGTACCCCCAGTGACCCACCTCCTCCAGTCTTGACCCACCTTCTTATAGTTAACACCCACTAGACTAGTCTTTTCAAGTTATTAACCCATCAAATGGATTAACCCACCCATTAGGTTACAGCTCTCATAATCTAATCATTTCACCTCGGAACACTCCTGCATTGACATGGAACCCTAACGTGGAACAACAGGAAATTTTATTCATTGTTGATGGAATTGCAAAGTGGTACAGCCAGTTTAGAAGACAGTGCGATGGACTGAATGTTTATGTCTCCCCCAAATTCATGAGCGTAGATCACTCATAAATGGAATTATTGCTCTTATAAAAAAAAAGACCTGAGAGAGATAGCTAGTCCATGCTGCCATGTGAGGACATAGTTAGCATCTACTATCTATGAACTAGAATAGACCACCAGATACAGAATCATCCAGTGCCTTGATGTTGGACTTTCTAGCCTCCAGAACTGTGAGAAACAAATTTCTGTTGTGTGCAAGCTACCCAGTTTATCGTATTTTGCTTTAGCAGTCAAAAAAGCCTAAGAAAGACAGTTCAACTGTTTCTTGCAAAACTAAACATGCTTTTAGCATCTTATTAAGCATTCGCGAGCTTGGTATAACCCAAGGAGTTGAAAATTTATGCCCATGCAAAAACCTGATCACAGATGTTTAGAGCAGCCTGATTCATATTTACCAAGAGTCAATCAAGATATACTTCAGTAGGTAAATGGATAAATAAACTGTGGTACCTGCAGACAATGGAGGAAATTTAAATGCATGTTAGTAAAAGAAGACAATCTGAAAAGCTTACATCCTATGGATTTTCAATTATCTAACATTCTGGAAAGGCATAACTATGGAGACAGTAAAAAAGATCAGTGATTACCAGGTATTAATAGAAGGGGATGGATAAATAGGCAGAGCACAGATGACATTTAGGGCAGTGAAACTATTCTGTATGATACTCTAATGGTTGATCCATGTCATCATACCTGTCAAAATCCATAGAAATGGATAGCCCCTAATTCGTGAGCCCTAGTGAAAACTAAAGACTTTGAGTGATAATGATATGTCAATATAGAGTTCATCAGTTATAAAAAAATATGCCACTCTAGTGTAGGAGGTTTATAGTAGATGTGTTGGCTTTGCACCACTGTGATCAGAATACCTGACAAGAAGAGGTTAGAGGAGGGAAAGTTTATTTTGGTTCATGGATTTAGACCATGGTCAGTCAACTCCATTGCTCTGGGCCCAAGGTGAGGCTGAACATGGCAGAAGGGCACAGTGAAGGGAAATGCTCAGCTCATAGCAGCCAGGAAGCAGAGAGAGAGAGAGAGTAAGGAAGGGGCCCCGGGGAAGATGTACCCTTCCAGGGCATGCCCCCAGTGACCTACCTCCTCTAGCCACATCCCACCTGACTACAGTCACCAACCAGTTTATTCATTCAAACTAGTATGGACTGATTACGGCTTTTATAATCTGATCATTTCACTTCTGATTATGCCTGCATTAACACAGGAGCTTTGGGGGGGGACACCTCATATCCAAACCATAGCAATGGGAAATGTTGTACAGTCATTGGGGGCAGGAAATATACGAGAACTCTCTCTCTACTTTCTGCTTAACTTTATTGTGAACCTAAAATTGCTCTAGAAAGTAAAGTCCAGCAAAACAAACCAGCAGGTAATAGTTGGTTACTTTGCTATCCCCTGCCAGGAATCTTCCCTCCTCATCCAGGATAGCCATCATTTAGGGTCTGGCTCATATAAATCCTCATTTTCACAGACTAACTATGACCTTTTGAGATATTCAGAAATCCAACTGGGGGCTTAGTCAAACATGTATTGGCTTATGTAACTGAAAGGTCTATGGATGAGTCTGGGCTCTGGCTTAACTAAATCCCAAAACAAAAGATACAGACAGACACCTCTCCACCGCTCTCTTTCTCCCTACCCCCTCTCCCACCTCTTGCTCCACTTTCTCACCCTCACTTTCTCTTTTCCTCTCTTCATCTATACCCTCCCCCATCTGTGTTGACCTCATTCTCATGAGGGCTAGCTCTGCATGGAGTGATCACATGAACATCAGCATCTCTAGACTCACATTCCACCAGTGAGGCCATCCTTAGAAGAGAGAATGATTCTTTCTCAGCAGAATGCAAATTTCTTCTTTCTCTTTAGAATGACTCTAGCCATTTGTTCATGGTAATCACAACCATTGTTTCCCAAAGTTCTTTTGCAAGTCATGGGTGTTCCATAAGATGATTGGGTAGTAAGCAAATATTTATTTAGATAAATGGAAGATATTGGGAGGAGAAAGGCACAAACAGGCAGAGCACAGTGAATATTTAAGGCAGTAACATTCTTTATGATGCAACAATGGTAAATACATATCATTCTAGATTTGCCCAATATGTAATTCCTTGTAAATTTGCATGTACAATCAAAATAACTACTGCATCAGATTTCTTTTTTTTTGTTTGGGATGATGCTGAAATAGTAAAGAAGGTGGTTTAAGGAATCTGATTTATATAGCTAGAGTGAGCTTCAGGTAGGGTGGTCAGGTGTGTTTATGAACATCTTCAACTTTGTCTAATCTGAATTGCCTACCCCACCATGACTTAACCTGCTCCATGTAGGTAAAGGTGTTGCATAGACAGAAAAGTCTGGCCACTATTGTAAAGTGAGAGACATTTTTAGGTTCACTTATGTTCCTCAAGGACTCTGGAAAAATCTATTCCATGTGGTAATTCATAAGGAAGTTTTAAAAAGAAGTTGATATGACACATATGGTATTTGATGGCTTCACATTCCATACCACAGTTGACAAAGATTTACTCCTGCAGAATGTAAAACTCATTCATATTGTCAATCTTTCAACACTTTGAGAGTTTGAGCCAATGAGATATATAAGCCCTTAACTTTGAAAGTCTTTGAGACTCCTATGAGAAGAAAAAGTATAATTTTAATAGCAAGTAAAACTAATTACATGACTATCATCTCCACCATAGGGTTCTTTGTAAACCAAAATTATTAATCTGACTTTTGTACATCAGACTTGTTTTGATTTCATTGCTTTCTAAGAGGAAGCGGACTTCCTTACTAAATTATTTAACTCAAATTCTATTCCAGGAACAAACAGAAGCTAAGTTTCTTTTTCAAGTTTTTTTTTTTTTTTTTTAAGGGGTATCTTTTGTTTCTCTGTGGTTTCACTATACGAAGACACTCAAAGAGGAAGAAGTTGTTATTATATTTCTATACTCAAATGTGTTCTTAAAATATTCTTCAAATAAGAATTGTGTGTGGCTATTATGTAATTTTTACTTGTATGCAATAAAACAAAACTGTGAGAAGATTCTGAGAAGATGATGGAATAGGAATCAATTGAATTGGCAGAGTCACACATAACTTTTTTCAAACTCTGAAGTGGATTGGAAGTTTCTGTTATGGTTGTATGGTTTAGATACGAAGTATACCTAAAGGCTTATGTGTAAAAGTCTTAGTCCCCAATGCAACAATGTTTGGAGGTGGGGCTTTGGGGAAGTGACTGCATCATGAGGACTCTGACCTTGTCTGTGAATGAATCCTCTGCTGGATTAGTAATTTGGTGGCACTATGGAGAGGCAGTGGAAGCTATCAGAAATGGGGCCTGCTTGCAGCCAGTAGGTCACAGGGGGCATGTGGTAGAAGGGTAAATCTTGTCCCTGGCCTCTTACACTCTCTCTTTATTTTTATCTTTCTCTCTCTCTCCTTTTCTCCTTCTTGGCTGCCATGAGCCGAGAAGCTTTCCTCTGCCATGTCCCTCTGCCATGTTCTGTCTCCTCTTTGGCCCAAAGCAACAGAGCCATCCCACCATAGACTGAAAACTCTAAAACCATGACCCAAAATGTCTTTCCTCTTCTAAGTATTGATGTCAGGTATTTCAATCATGGTGATGAAAAGCTGACAGACAGTTTTCAACTTCTAAAAGAAGGTTTGGGTGGTATATTGTACCTAATTTCAGTTCTAGTTCCCCACCTTCAGACACTTGGTAGGGGGCTGTATAGGTATTCTTGGAGCAGCTTATGGGTTTCAGGATCCTAAGTAGGAAGAAAGAACACTGTTTTTCAATCATTGGGATCTGTGCTCTGATTGCTGATTGTGAATAGTGGAAAGTATCTCTTAAAACTGAAAGTCTATACGAACATCATTTATTCATTCATATTTTGCTCTTACCCAAGCATCCTCTGTGTAACAAGTTGTAAAATCCAGTGTGGAAATAATCTGGGGGCCAAGCAAAAGTACATCTTAAGGCCTTCTGTATATACATAAGAGCAAAGAACAACTATTGGCTGAAATTCTGTAAAGGCCATTGACACAGAACAACAAAGTGCACATTGAGTCTGAAACAAGGAATGGTATTCCCACACCTGGCAATAAGTCCTGCAGAAGTTGTGTGGGCTCCTTATCTCTTGTTGATGAAGACTTTCAGACCCAAGGCTCATTATTATGTGACTGAATGAAATTGAAAGATGGCATGCACAAAACTGCTTTTGCCAACATTCCAAGTCTGACCCTTGCTCAGATGAAGAAAGAGCAGATAAAGTATACCAAATGTGGTAGGATCATCAACCAGCTCTGAACTTGGAGGCAGAGTTGGGCTCCATGGGATCCATGAGTAACCTGTATGGATCTGGTTTGTCCCAGAGCCTCCCTGTCAACTGAGACAGCATTTCATTAGCGTTACTAGGAAAAGCAGGCCCAGGAGGATGGCCAATCCTGAAGAATGGTCTTCAGCCAGAAACCCCAAGTACCTGGATACTTGCCAAGGACTTTAGCCAGATGAAGAGGCCCCAAAAATGAGTCAAAGGGGGACTGTGAATACACAGCTCATCACTATTCCATCTGAGCATGGATCTTTTCCAGTCAATCTTGTCTTCTCTAAATTACTGACACATGCACAAGAGATGTTGGCTATACCACAAAATGTCACGCTGTTCTGCCAATTAAGGGCTATTTGGTCTTCCATCACCACATTGGCTGGTGAGTGTGGGGCATCTCATTGGTGTTGAGGAAAGTCCAAGTTATTTTCACTGCCCAAGCCACTACAATGGGTGTGTTGGATAAAAGGGACATCAGTCTGAAATCCCCAAATTCAGAGAGGTCTGAATTTGTCTCATCTTGTCAGAGCTGGGCTGATTCTTATCAGAGTGTTATTATGCAAGGCACATCAGAAGCTTCTGTAGGGATGAGAAAAAGAAAAGATAATGCCTTCATCCCCTCTCACCCCACAGATCTCCTGGGGTTTCAGATGTTCTCTGCTCAAGAATACAAATATTATCTGTCTGGCCTTACCCAGGAGTTATGATTCTGCCAATTTTAACTTCCCAGTCACGTGTGGTCACCGAAGCCAACTAGATAGGTGACATTGGTAACTACCTCATCATGTCCCATGACTTCAACTGTCACTTTGGCTGCATAAGTGATAGGTAACCTCCTCTCCACGACCCCTTGAAAGTCCCTTCTAAGAAATGAGAGGTCACTGGGAATATAGCTCAGTTGGTAGAGTGTT